TATATATATATATATATATATATAGATATATATATATATATAATATATAATATATATATATATATATATATATATATATATATACCTTAATAAGCTTTTAGCACGTTTTGCTGAATTTTAAGAGGTACAAACATTAATGTGATATGTATAACCAGTTTTTGCATTACAAAACCATCGAAAATGTCAAAAAAAATTCCTATCGCCGCCTGTTATTAAGGTTATTGTTTTGACCCGACTCATTCCCTTATCTCACCATTTCCTCATATCTCGGCAATTTCTATTCATTGTTCATATAAAGTTGAAGACACATTCAAATCAGTGCCTCTCCATCAATTATTATCGCCTAAACGCCCACCGTCCACTAAGAAGAAGTCATTTTTGTGTTTGGTTCATCAGGTCTGTTTATTTACCGATTTTGTACTTTTTTTCTTTAGGGCAAACTGAAGCATACCATCTTTCCTCTCAATCTCACTCGAATTATGTCTCTTGAAGAACCACCGTACCACCGCCATTCTCTGTACAAATCTCAGGTAAAACAACTTCTTTTTCATCTCTTATATTGAAAAAATTACAACTGAATTTCTTTTTCATCTCTTAAATTGAAGAAATTACAACTAGATTTCATTTTGATCTCTTTATATGTTCAAATCTTCACCTTTCTCCACCTCCGGCGCCGCCGGCCACTCCCACCATCTGCCATCGTTAGAGCGACCTAAATCAATCGGTTTTCTTCATCTTTCAGTGGTGGAGTTTCAATGTTGTTAAATTTCCTTGCAGGTATCTATCCATTTGACATCAAATATCAAGAACTTTTAAATGTCGATAGTTCATCATGTTTCGAAGTTTAGTTTTGAATTGTGTACTGTTGTAGGAAGGTCCATCTTCGAGTCGTTAAAATGTAATATTCTTGATTTTTCTTTCACTATTTATGCTGGAAATGTCTTTGTTTTGTGTATGATTATTGGTTAGGTTAAAACATTATCATTTGATTCCTTTCATTATTTTCGTTTTTGTTGACAGTTTTATTTTTATTTTTTTTTTTTTTTTTGCAAATCCCACCATAAGCCAGTGATCTATCGAGTTGTCCTTTTGACGATTTTCTTTTTAGGGTATATTGATGAATATTTTTTTTAGATCAGACCTGCACCGCTATCCAATAATGAACCCTAAACAGTAGGTCAAATAAGAAGTATACCTGGTTTGTGTTTCCTTTTTCTTTTCTTCCATATTACTTTTTCTCAGTCTTTCTAACTGTATATGTGTGTGTATTTAACTATTTATTTGAGAAATAGTCTTGATTGTGTGTGTGTTTGTGTGTTTACCTCTAATTGTATGTGTTTGTGTTTTTTACTTTGTTCCAGTGGTTTTTGATGTGGGCTTTGAAAGAAAATCAACCATGTAGCAATTTCAACCTGCATAGTAGAAGTTTGGTGATGAGGAATTGTAAGTAACGTTCTCAGGTTTTCTAAAGATTTTTTTTTCTGTTACTAATTTGTATTTACTTCCCTTTCCATTTCAATAGATCATATTAGTTGCAATTGTTTCCTTTGGTGTAGTTGTGTGTGTGTGGGGGGGGGGTGTATATGGAAATTTGGGTTAGGTTTAAATGCAAAAATACTAATCTACTTTCATGGATTTGTTTATTATAACATCCTACTTTCAAGGAGTTGTTTATTTGAAGTGAAGTTTATGTACTTCCGTAGATTTTTTTTATTGCTTTGTGTTTTCATGGTACTTCTATCATTTCTGTTTTTTTATCATGAAAAGTCAAAAACCCTTGCCATGTCATTGATTTAAAACTCTTTTCCTTTTGGATTTTCCTTTTTAGCTTGATTCTATTTTGACATGTATTTAGTTGGCTAATGTAAGGGAGGTTTAAGAATAAATTTCTACACATCTTAACACATGAGAAGTAAAACATCAGAAGTTGTTAGTTATTGAGGTGTTTGAAATACAAAGAGGGGTTGTTGGGTTTTCTTATTTTTAAGGAGAAACTGGTTGATTAATCCTGGAACTCAAGTAAAATAGTCAAGTATGATGTAGTTTTAAAAAATATTTTAGGTTTATTGTTTTTTTATTGTTAATGTTTATTGACTTAATTGAGATCTTATTATGAAGGTTTGATTTTAATATTTTTTTTTTGTTGTTGATGCCAGGTCTGATGTGGAATTAGGATTTGAGATTCCATTCCATGGAGTATTTTGTTGCCAAATGGTTGGATGTCATGTCCGTAGCCCCTTCTTGATTTGCTTGGGTGCTGCTGTTGATGTTAAATTTTTTTTAGAGTAATGACCATTATGCCCTTGGATGTTCTTTGTTTGATTTTTCCATTAGAGTTGTGTAAGTCTTAACAACAGTGGGTTCTGTTGCTACTGGTAAACACTAATTAAAGGAAAAAACAATCACATGGCATTTTTCTTTGCCCCACAAAACCTATTTCCTATTTTCTTTTGTTTTCCTCTGCAACCAAGAAATCGAAAACCCTAATCTTTCTTTTATTTTCTTATTGGTTCGAAACTTGCAGGTGGTTTGTTCTCGGTTTTTTAAGGTGCTTTTAATGGTGATGAAGGAAGTTGGTGGAGGATGGTGTAATCTGAAAGAAGAATGTGAAACCAGTCGACAGTGGCGGTTAGTGATGGTGTGATGTGGGTGGTCTTCCGGCTAGGAGTGGGTCTTGACAGATGTGCTTGGAAATGATGACAGTAGGTGGTGTTGTTTGTGGTATAAGGTGGCAATAGTGGCAGGTTTTTGCTGGTACTGTAATGGTGGTTCTCTAGCAGCATTGTGGGGCAGAATTTGATGAAAAATGAAAAATCAGTTGAGGTTCTTGAATATTTGGAACATGATATAAACTAAGTATTGATGTTTTCTGGATTCATTGGTTAAGTCTTCGTTAACATTACGACCAACACAACTCCAATGGTATTTGTGAGTGGCGGTAGTTTCATATATATCTCTATGTGTGTGTGAAATGAATTATATATATTACTGTATAAGTTTGTGAATATGTATCTGAAGGTGTCTCTATCTATGCATGTGTCTGAGTGTTGATATATTTACACTGTCTATGCATATGATGATGTATATGTTTGATCAATGTTGATATATATTTACACCGGCGTATCATATACATGTGGATATAAAGATTTGCTGATGATTGCGATTTTCCATTTGGAGATTTTATCAAACTTGCAGGTGCAAAATGAAGAAGATGGTAATATTTCAAAATTCCAGCACAACACCAACCTCTAACTTACTGCAATGTAAGTAATTAATTCCTTATAAACACCCATGGATGAATAAGTGATTACCTTTTTAGGACAGTTCCTTCTTTGATTGATCATCATAATATGTGGAATGAATGGAGTCCAACTGTGGAGGAATAAGTGATTATTCTTTGGGACAATATTCATTTGAATCTTGAATGAGCTACTGACTCATTGATGATAAATAAAAGGAATATTGATTCTAATACTACGGAAACTATACAGAAAACTATACACTGTCATATGACAATGTATTCATCTTATTAGAAAACTTTTTAACTTATATATATCAAATCTAATCCTAGATATCGAAAATGTTATGTTATTACAATTATATATATAATAAGAGTGAATATATGTCAACAAATAGGAACAAAAATGTAATAGTAATAAATTATATAAGTGTAATCATAACAAACGATGATGTAATAAGAAAAATCAAAACATGTCTTTTATTTGCATCTCAATATGAAGAAAAAAGATAGAGAATTGTTTAATAAAAAGTTAAATTGGTATAAACAGATTTTTTTTAATGTGTAGTAGGAGCAACAGAAAACGAATACACAACTTTTTATAATTATTTAGGCTGTATGTGAAAAATGGATATTTAATTTTTTATAATTACTTTGGTTGAAATTCAAAAAAGAAAGGTTTGTCTAAGTTCAAAAAACAAAAAGTAAAGCCGTAAATCACTATTGATCAAGAAAACTTAAAGGCTATCACTACCAACATATATAAAAAACAAGTCGGACATCAAGGTTTTCTCAAATATATAAACTATTAAGAATGATATTTGAGGTATGGGATTAAACTATCATACCTACATTGCTATTTTTTTTGCATTTAGCCTATTTAGGTGCTAACTACAATAATTATAAATGTACATTGATTGGTTTTCCTTTTTAAGCTTTTTGTTGGTGAAAAACAAACAATATAATTAGTATGTATATGTTGCATAAACTTTTTTATAAACATTAATAGTTTGAGTGTTTTTTTTTTTTTGAAAAATTAAGTAGATATATGTGCGAGACAATATAGATACAAAGATTTTCCTAAAAAGTTAACATGGAATCCAAGCTCACATCATTGGAATCCTTGAGAACATGGCTTAATGTGAGGTCGTTTGGTTTCTTATAATCCCGCTGAAGGGGAACGATACTACCTTCAAATACTTTTATCACATATTAGTGGCCTTACATGTTTTGAAGATTTGTACACTGTCAACAACGTAAAACACCAAACTATTTGCGCAAAATATCTAATCGCCTCTAAAAACTAATTTTTGAAAAAAAAACTATTCTCACCCGTCGCTTGTCGCGGGTAAACGGCTAGTATATATATATATATATATATATATATATATATATATATATATATATATATATATATATATATATATATATATATCCAAACTTAAATATTTTAAATAAATCAAAGTCTTTTTGAAATTCTTAATGGGGGGTCACAATTGAATATTTGTAATGACATGATGGGGATTGATTAAAGGTAAACACATCAATTTTCTAAATAATTGTTTATACATGAATTATTCTGCAAATACGAGCAACGTTTACTAAACATAAAACCTTATAAAGGATTAAAGGGGACAAAATCTAGTTTTTTTTAATACAACATAAAAGTTTATATGGCAATAAAATAATAGGGGGGAAGGAAGACCGTCAATTAGAGGGGGCTACAAACTGTGCTTTGGCCTTTGTGCAATCACACTTCAATAATTTCCTATATATCCTTTTTCCATTTCTTTATTTTGGTTATACGTTGGTTCTCTTTTCTAATTTGAATGTGAAGAAGTCAATGGGGTCAATGGGAGACTCGGAGGTAGTGTTGTTGGGGTGGCGACTAAGCATGTTTGGTGCAAGGGTGAAAATTGCTTTGGCTGAAAAAGGCGTCATGTATGAGTACAAAGAAGAAGACTTGCCACACAAAAGCCCTCTTCTTCTCAAGCTCAACCCGGCTCATAAAAAAATTCCAGTTTTGATTCACAAGGGAAGATCTCTATGTGAATCCAAAATCATAGTCGAGTACATTGATGAGTCGTGGAAGAGTAAATCACCATTGTTGCCTTCAGATCCTTATTTCAGATCTCAAGCCAAGTTTTGGGCTGACTATATTGATAAGGTATGTATGTATTTTTGCCTTCTTTAATTTCTCGCCACAAACAAAGAAAGGAAATACATATATATGCTCGTTAACTCTTGTAAAACATTAGTAAATTCCTATTCCACACCATTATTTGTTATTGTTTAGAAAATCTTACTAAGATCATCTCTGATCATAACACCATTTTCTGCATCAACATGTTATCTCCAACTCATTATGGATTTATGGCTATGTTTAATAAACTAAAAAGTAACCTATAATTTAGCTAACTTTAAAGCTATGGTTTTTTACTCGGACTATCAGTAGCTTTGAGAGATTTAAATTAATAAATTCTTCCAATTTTGCCCTTCAATAAAACATGTACAATCATTCCGTTAACGTTAAACTCTCATAAATTAAAAAGTAACCTTAATCTCTCATTAAAGTTACACCAATTTTTATTCTGAAGTATATGAAGTAATTGCAAAATACTAATCAAACATCATCGTTGTTTAGAAATTATTGAGGAAAAGTATAACTTTTAAATATATTCTTTAAAACCGTAACAATTTCTCTTAATAGTTTAATGTCGAATTTAACTGATTAAAAGTTTTTTCTTTACAGATAAATAGAGACTACAAATTAAGTTAAGTATAACTTTTTTATTTGTACACAATCTTATTTAGATATTTTTAAAATTTTACTCCCTTTAATGATAAGATTACTTGGTAACAAGGTATTGTCTAAAGCATAAAGCTTACACATAGTTTGTTAACATTGATAGGTTATATACGACGTTGGGATGAAATTCATGGCGGGTCCAAAAGGTCAAGAAATGGAAAAAGCAAGGCATGAATGGTTTGGGTACCTCAAAGTGTTGGAAGGGGAGCTTGGGGAGAAACCATATTTTATGGGTGATGCCTTTGGTTATGTTGATATTGTATTGATGTCTTACTACAACCATTTCTATACATTTGAGACTCTTGGAGACTTCAGTCTTAAGATAGAAAGTCCAAAGTTATTTGCTTGGGCTACAAGATGCATGAAAAGGGAGAGTGTTTCCAAGAGTCTTCCGGATCCACACAAGATTTATGATCATACAATCATATACCGAAAGAGCATTGGCGTACAAGACTAGTTCGTATCAAATCGTGGTGTTTGTTTTATGTTATTAGGAAATAAATTCATATGTTGTGGGTAGCTTTTCACGAGTTTTTGTCCATAGTAGGGTTATAGACAAAACTATTTCCCATTCTAGTATACATTTAAAACTATTTACTTTTTTAGTATTTTTTTCATTTTTGTTTAATTTTTCAGCTTTTCTTAATGTTTTTTTATTTTAAATATATCCAACTTTTCTCCATTTCTTTTTTATTTCACATTTTTACTGTTTTTCTAAATAATAATTTTTTTTTCAAACTTTTAGTGTTTTTTTAAATAAAAATTTATATTTATATTTTTTATTTTTGTTTTTTATTTTAAATATCTATTTTTTACATACAATTTTTTAGCCATCATAAAATTAAACATACAATTTTTTCATCATATTAGTTATAACAGCAGCTTGAGAGATTATAGAAAAATCATCATTGTCAATCATGTCTATAATAGAATTCATCTACAAAACAAATAAAAACAAACAAAAACTAATAAAAAACTAATAGAATTCATCTACAAAACAAATAAAAACAAACAAAAACTAATCAAAAAACTCATCATGTCATCTATGACAACAAGAAAAAAGAAACAAAAACTAATCAAAAATTGCTTATATCATCTATGACAACAAGAAAAAAGAAACAAAAACTGATCAAAATTTGATTATATCATCTATGACAACAAGAAAAAAGAAACAACGACTAATCAAAAATTGATCATATTATCTATGACAACAAGAAAAAAGAAACAGAAGTAAAAATTGCAATCAATTCCATCTAAAAACATCAAAAAACAAGCTGTGACATATACAAAAAAATCAAACAGATGCAGAACTTGATCTTCAATTCGGTGGAGAAGGATCAAAATCAAGAAAAAATGAGAGTGCAATGAATTAAACAGAAAAAACTACAAAAAACGAGAAGGAAAATAGGTTGCATACCTTGAAACCGGCAAGTTTATGGAGGCGGTAGGAGGACGGCGACGGGCAGAAGAGGTTGCAGGTAGGTGGCCGGCGTAGGAGGAAGAAGCCACAGGCGGCTGGCTATGGCGGATGAAGCCGTTGGCTGAAGAAGACGATTGAAGCCCTAGCCTGTTTTCGTTTTTTTTTTTTTTTTTCTGTACGCTGTTCCGTTCCAGCATGTAGGGAGCGTTATTTTTTTTTTGTTTTTAATCATAAAAAACAATAATAATAGTTTTAAATTCAAAATAATACTAATAAGGTAAATAGTTTTGAATGTATACTAGAATGGGAAATAGTTTTATGTATAACACTAATATGGATAAAAACTCAGCTTTTCACATGAATAAGTTAATTACGTTGAAGAATTCAATCCATATCTTGCGGATTGTGTTTCTCAATTACTAGTTATAATATTTTCATGAGTTTTTATTTTATTTTTCTAATACTGTGTATGTTACTTTTCTAGGATTTTTTTTTTCATGAACAACATGTTATTATTTTTTGACCACCGTATTGGTGTGGTTTACTTTAATGACTTTTGTTTGTAATGTGAGATACATACACTTTATCTTACTTAATAGCTTATGCTTTCTTGTGAAATAAAGTATGAATGTATGATGACATCTTTCTCATGGGAATTGGGAAAATACATTCATATTGGCAGGGCGGACACAGCTACGGGATAGTGATATTTGAATTGTGTTTTGATAGATATTAGAACTAATCATCCAATAAATGTTTTAGAGGCATAGACTAATTTGAAGACACCAGTAGAATTGACGAGTATGTCCCATTTTTAGCATTAAAAATAGTAGAATTGACGACTATGTCTCCTCTTTAGCATTAAAAAACTGTGTTTAGAAAAAAAAAAAAAAAAAAAAAAAAAAAAAACAGGTGTAAATTTAGCATTTGCAAATAATTTCTCCCTTTAGCATCACATAAACGGTCATGTCATCAAAAAGAACATATTTATTTAACTTCTAATATATATGCAACATAGCAGCGCAACGCTGTAAGAATACCAATAATAATCTGGAAAGAATAACTATTTTATTTTTATTTAACTTGTTGATTCATATTTATTAACTGCATTCTCAAATTTTAACCAACACTAGAAATCAAACACTATTAATAACTCTGGAAACAATGATTTACTTGAGTTTTTTTTTCTATTGACTAAAAACTGACCCTCTCTGATTATTCGATCACTTAGACTCAACTAGATCATATAGTTGATTTTAATTTAAATCAGTCATTGCATATCTACTCTAATAAATGAATATTTTTTTGTCACATGTCACTCTCTCATTCAATTTATCAAATGTCATTTTGTGGTTATTTTGATTTAATTTCTTTTCCACATGTCATTTTATGGATTTTTATATTTTAATAAATTTCACATAATACTTTAATGTAATAATTACAATAAATGTAGTAATAAATTAATATGAATGTCATTAATGGACTTATCTTCTTATTTCAAAATTTCTAAATTAAAGCTATTAGTTTATTTTGTTTATTTATTTAAATTTAAAAGATAAAAAAATCAATTTTAATAATCCATTATTTTTCTTATTTTCTTATAAATCCAAAGTTTTTGAATATTTAGATATTTAATTTTTTTTTAATTAACTCATGTAATAAATGAGTCTTACACCTAATTAGCTTGATAAATAGTAAATACACTACCATACATTAATGCATGTATTAATAGTGATATTAGTCTAAAAATTGTGTTGGACTTATTTTGTTTTGGGCTTTTTATTTTGCATTTTAGCTAGATTTACCCTATATAGATTTTATTTATGTAGTTGTATTTACATTTTTTTGTATTCATAATTTTACTCAAGATTCTTTTTTATTTTTGACTACTTTTTCATATTTTAACCAATACTTTGAAATCAAACACTACTAATAACTATGGAAACAATGAATGACTTGAGATTTTTTCTACAGACTAAAAAGTGGATTACTTTGACTCGGCCCGATTATTGAACCATTTAGACTTAACTAGATCATATAGTTGATTGTCGGTTCCTCTTACAAAGGAATTTTCTGAAACAACCACTGCATATTTGCTTGATCTGTAGACTATGATACAAAATGCATGTATTAATAGTGATATTAGTCTAATAAATTTATTCAACTTATTTTGTTTTGGGCTTTTTACTTTGCCCATTATATATATATAGATATATATATATATATATATATATATATATATATATATATATATATATATATATATATATATATATATATATATATATAGTTGTATTTTCCCTTTTTCATATTCGTGCTTTTACTCAATAATGAAAGACTAACATACAAGGATTTATCAGCAACCTCGAGCTATCAGCAGCTCACATACAACAAATTGCATTATGGACTACCCCGAATTGTCAACAACTCACATACAACATATGATATAGGTAACACAGTGAGAATACTCACCTGAATCGAAGACCCACAAAAATACAACAACACACTCACTCCCTAAACTGGTAACTCCCGTGAACCGACAAGCACCAAACAAGTATATATTCTTAATCAATAACTCAAGTCCTTCAAGTTTGACCCAAGTCAAATTGGTCAAAAGTCAACGGTCAACCAGGTCAACGCTCACCATGACGTGGAAACCTCTTGGCCACGTAGTGGGTATGCCAGGACAAAACATTCAATATGTGGGACATCTCCACGTCGTGACAATCCCTTTTCCACGTCGTGGGTTCTGGAAGAATGTCATACTCTTCATTAAGTGCTTAATTCTTATAGATCTAAACCCATAAATTCAGATGTAGTTTATTCCAATGACTTAATGGATAAAGTTTCCAACTTTATCAATTAGGACTCCACCACAAAGCAATATCTACAATTCTAAGTCCAATAAGTCCTTAATAAGGCCAAATCTTGATCATGGACACAAAGAAACTCCAACCATGACTCTTCTCTCAATTACCTAAAGCTTAGAGAATACAAAACGACCATAACAAGCTCTGGAGTTCTTCAAACTCCAAGAGCATCTATAGAAGGAACCGAAACTACCCAAAATGATCTCAAACCTGAATCTAAAAGAAGAACTGGAAAGTTAAGAAGTTTATGCCTCAAATACCTCATAAATCATAAGGGAATGATGGATCCAAACCAACACCTTGCTTCCTTACACCAATGTCAACTTCCTTCTTCCTCAAGCTCCATTAAAATACAAGAATAAGCTCCAAATCAAGAAGACAGGCTTTCAAACATGTATGGACGCTAGGGTTTCGAGATGAGGGGTTAGAGGCTGAAAAAGATGCCCTAATCCTTCAGATTAGGTGTTTAAATATGGATAAAACCCTAAAAATCATGGGCTTGGGTTGCAGCTACTGCAACGTCGTGGCCTTCCTCATGTCATGATGTGGCGACCATCCAGGTATGCGTTTTATGCATTTAGCATACCACGTCGTCGTGTCCCATTCACCACATCGTGGCAGAAGGTTTTTCCCAAAACCTTACATTTTATACTTCAAAGGCCTCCAACGATCCATCCTGGAAAAAACGGGCATTACAATTCTCCCCTACTTAAATTAGGTTTCATCCTCGAAATCGGACCTTACAAATTACCTCTTATCTACTCCACGACCTTCTTGTAGATTTTGCCGATCCCACTCTAGTTGTACTGACTGGCACCTCTCGCTCTTACCATGGTTTGTAGCTTCCACCTCAATGCCTTCCTGAGCCAGAGGAAAATCTATTCATAGACTAGACTGCTAGAAATATATCTCTCAAATATCGCAACAATGGATCATTGCCCTACCCAGACAACCATTTCCGAAACTATTGCCGATTAATCTTTTAGAGAAAACATGTGCCCTGATGGAGAAACGACAATTAACCCCAATGCGAGAAACGAACTTCCTAACCATAACACGAAGACTCCAAGGTCGAGCCTGATAATCTGACAAAAAATTTCATCCTATAATTAACCATACTGACCGAAAATTCACATATTTGACCTGACCAAGACCTCCCCCAGCCTCGTGTCATTCTACTGATAAGCCGAATTATGGGATCCATGGCTAACCAACGTTGTCGATATCGTCGCATACAAATGCACAAGCGAAAACCTTATTGGAATCTAATCGAAAATACGCCAAACT